AAATTTTTTTTTGTTTTATAGTTCATGAAAAAGTTCGAACAATTCTTTATCAATGTTCAAAATGTAATTATACAATACATAATAATCATCAACATTTTTTCAATCATATTGATACTCAACATCCAGAATTATTAGAAGTAAATTTTTTTTATATTTTTGAAATATAATTATTTCTGATTTAAATTTATTTTTATTTTTTTTGTTTCTATTAGGATCAAATGTAAATGAATTGTCAGATATCTCGTTTTCTTTTGCAAGGTCTTTCTCGTCCTATGAACATTCCATTCAGATAATATTGTTCTTGTACTATTTATCCGTTTGCTTTTTTTTGTCATCTAGAAAACATGCATATATAAATTGCTGGTTTTTTTTTTTGTTCTTTTTTCTTTTGTTCCGTTGCTTTGCTTTATTCTATTCTATTTGTCATTGTTTGTTTTGTGTCCTACTGTTTTCTTTTCTTTTTTTTTTTTTTTTATTGAAAAACAACCTTAATAAGATTCATTCTTGAAAGTTTTATTAGAAGAAAATGATAAAATCAAAGATTTAGTCGAATATTGGCATGAGATTCAAGGTCATTCACTTTCAAAAATATGATCTTGAGCAAGAAATAAAATTTTCAACTCTATATAATAATATTTTCGGAAAATATTCAACAAAACAAATAAGATTGAAAAATAGTTCATTTGACAACGTGAAATTTTCTGTGGTATAGATTTTATTTGGATGAGCATGACAAAATCTGTTTTTCTTTATATTTTACTTTTTAAACGGAAACAAATTCAATGTCTCGAATACAAATAATAATTTGTCTATAGAATTTTATTTTCAACAATGAAAACGATTGCTAGCTCTCCAACAATAGAATATCTGAAAAATCAAGTTTTTCAACTCCTGGAATATTGTGTCAATTATTTAAAATAATAAAGCTAATAATTCTCTAAAAAAAAGTGAAATGTCTTCAGGCTTTCTATGACGCATTTTACCCATGCTACATCAACCATATACAAGGTGCAAAAGTCGTTTTTCTTTGTTATTGCGTATGAAAAAAATTATTTTTGTATTCGTCATAAAATTGTTGTATCTCGGTCAAAGAATGTCGTCGAGCATCGGAAGACACTTGATTTTGTAGAGAATTATTTGCTCTATCATTCTGTGTAATTCGAACAGACTTCCAGTTGATGAAAAATTTGAATTTCAATCTTTCAGAAATATTTTACTAAACAAAATATTGATGCTATCAAAGAATCGATGAATAATCATTCAAATATTAATATTGAGTAGATTAGTATCATCTTAGATATATATTACATGGTTGTGTAGATACTATTCTATTGTTTTCAATTCTATTCAAGAAGAAGAAATAAAGCTTATGGTTTATCCATCATAGTCTTCTGACCATTTTTTTTCTTCAAATTTCTTATTGTTTAGATGATATGAAGAATAAACTTGCTACACATATTAATGTTACAATTTTTGGCTTAAGCAATAACCAAGAAGTTCAAGTCAATGCCTGTTCAGGAGTACCAGAATATATTCTTGAAGTGGATTCAGAAGACGAAATATTGTACTGAATATCACGAAGAATACTTCGAATATTTATTGTAGACAGAAATAGTAAAATGTTTTTTTTTTTCATAAATAAATATTTGAAAGTACACGCACTTTTTTCACTGGTCTATGTGATTTGCAATCTGATGATGGTTATCAAAATTCAAACTGTTTATATTATTTTTATCTAAATCCAAATACGGAACATTTGATATCAGATCTTAAAATGTTTTTCTGGTTGTGTCATATCTAGCAGAAGATGACGAAAATCATCAGAAAACGAAGTGTGTAATAACAGCTTATGTCGTTTATAATCGAATAGATAACTTATTTTATTTGATAATATTAGGATACGAGAAACTAATCACTCAAAATTGTTTATTGGGCTATGGATGTCTAATCTCTCGATCTAAAAGACATGCCAATATCAAAATTTTAGCTCGATATAACAAGCAAACTATTTTTTTTTGAATGTTTTTCAAAGATCATTGATTTCGGCATTATCTTATTGGAGACAAAGACAACACCATGTCTTTTCTATAGATTCTTGAAAACCGCAGATCGTTATCTGCTTGCGTTCTCTATCTACTTTAATCAAGTATTTATCAGTGTCTCATTGACATTAGTGTATATATGTCACTGGAACAAAAACATGAGATCAATTAATGACTTGGTATAAGCTATATATTTACACAATCAACAAATTTATTTCAATATTATAATAATAGATGACTTTTTATTGTCAAAAAAAGACAGTACGAGAAATTTAAATATTCATGAAAAATATCTTTAGTCGATCATAAGACAACACTAGAAAAAGAAAATACTAATAAATATGAAACTTTCTTTTTTAGTTGAAAACATGAATAGAAATGCTGATAGCAATGATGAACTGTTGATGAAAACAATAGCAATATTATTCATCTGAAATTTTCGAACTTAATCATGTTCTTAATACTTTAATGCAATACGAAGACTTGAGACCAATATAAATATCAACATGATGATATGCATTCCTAATTTAGTTACTTAATGTTATTATAATTATATACCGATGATTCTTGCGACCGATGCAAACATTTCTTGCTAAAGTTGACCGGATTTAGGATGGCAGACTAGCATTGTTTTCTATGTATAGGTGAGTAAAAACAAACGATAAAACGCCGGAGAAAAACGAACAGTCTTTAAGATTAAGGGGGAGAGCAGAGGCCGGAGGGTTGGATACCTGGTCGAGATACTCTTGGTTTTTTTTTATTATGATCCGTGCATGATTGATCCGATTTATTATGAAAACATAGTTGTTATTGCTTTTTTATACAATTTAGTTTTTCTTGTTTATGATAATAATCACCTTGTTTTCGGCTTATTTGCTATTTATAATAAAATTTTGACCAATATTTTTGTCAACTCTGTTGATGATGACTGTATTGGATAAAAAAATAAAGCCCGCAAAGTTCAGATTTATTGTAAAACTAAAGTCTATATTTGACATTTTTTTATCTTTCATTATTACGAAAAAAATAACGACATGGTTGGTTTTTAGTTAAATTGTTAAATGGATAGAATTTAGAATGATATAATTGTCTTTTTTGGCCAATAATAGAATAGATAAGACGACACAAAAAAAACAAAAAAAAAATAGTCGTAAAATATTGTATACAATATTTTTTTGAAACAACGAATATACACTATTGCGAAGATCGCAAAAGTCTCTATTAATTTCTTTTTTTTACATTTTTGTTGATTTTCTATTCTGTTTTGATTTAAAGAGGTTTTTTCATTTACAATATTTTGCTTTTGAAATTTGATTCCAAAAAAAAAAGAAACACTTTATCTATATTGGTCTGTTGTATTCTTATAATTTGATATATGCGTAGAAAATAATCATAAAATCAATAATAAAATAATCTCTAAATCAAGAAATAAACTTTGATACTTATGTAAACATTGTTTTTACTCATATGTATGATTGTGTCCTTGTAATCGTTTACGGTCTGTTGTCTTTCGGGTCTTCACAATTAGTAATTGCTTTTCTTTCTTGTTCTATTTATTCTATTGCTTATGTAGTAGTGTTTTGTCAAGGTTAAAGATACTATTTCTAAAATAAAGAGACGTCAAATAGAACAAAAGTTCTTTCTTTTTCTTAGTAAGTTGATTGTATACGTTTTCAAGGAAGTTCAATAGTTTACAAATAATCTGAGTTAAAAATCCTTTAAAAAAACAATTGTATTAAAAACAATTGATTCCATTAAAATTTTTGTTTTGTTATTCTATCGAGATATTCGTTAACTAACGTTTGAAAACAAAAGCAACTTTGAGTTTGACTAAAAAATGTTTCAATATTATCAAATGAAGATTTTTTTGCTTACAAAATGAAAATGATTTCTTTGTATTCAAAAAAGAAAAAGAAAAAGAAAAGTAAAATTTAATCTAATTAGTAAGTTTTAATATTATTAGTGTAGTTTTAATAAGTTGAGAAATTTTCTAATTAAATTAAGTAATTTTCCATGATTTAATATTAATCTAGATATTATTCATAATTTTTTTTCTTTCACACAAATTAATTGTCCATTGACGCGGAAAATGTGTTTTTTTCAGTAGTTTTCTTCGGTGATTGTTTTGTTTATTTGTAAGGTATCTTTCATCAAAAACATGGAATTAATAATGATATAAATAACACAAAAACCACACATTTCACGAATTTTTATTGAATACTTTAATTATGTTAGAAAAAAATGTATACCATTTAGTTATGAACAAAAAAGAAACATATATATATATATGCAGCTATGGAGACCTTGGCAACCCTGTTCAGTTCATCTGTTATCTACACACTAGAGTACTATAGTGTAAAATAAATTTGCTCTCTTTTTTCCTATGCTTGTCATCATAATTTTCTCACCCGCTCACCTTTAATGTCCCATGACCGAATGTAATATAACTAAATTGCGTTGTAAAATAACAAATAATGAATATAATTGAGCATTTCATGTTTTATTCTTTTTTGCTTCGAGCTTTTGATTCGTGTCGTGTCTTGTAAATGTGAAACAAAGACACGATAAAATAATACAAGCAATAGATTCAATGCCAGAAGACTAAACAACGAGACGTTAATTTATTTAAACAATTATTTTAACTTGAAAATTTTGTTAAGGTAATTTATTTTTGTTATTCTGTTCCTAATCAATCATTAATCTGTATATTTTTAAACATGTTTTCACGTAGATAATATGATATTTTTTTGTACCTAATCATATAAAAACATTCTTTTCCTCTCTCTCTCTCTCTCTCTCTCTCTCTCTCTAATTCGTACATATTATTTCTAAAGTTATACAATTTTAAGATAGATATAGTATAGATCATCGGTTCTGAGTGATATAAAAGACGTTATTTTCTTGTTATCATTTTAGGACAAAGAAATCGGCAAATATTGTCTACCATTGTTGAACAATATGGTTGAAAAAACAACAATAACAATGAATTGTGGCAAGATTATCTTCTACATTGTCTTGATTATATTTATTATCCATGTTGAAATTTCACTTGGTAAGTATTTTATTGTAGAAGATTCTTTTTTTATTGGTATTTTTATATAAATAATACAGGAGAAGGCATGGGTATAAATAGTGATTTGCTAAAAAAATTAATAATTGCAGCATCAAAAAATGATGACTGTTCACGTCGTATAACAATTCAGCATCCAATACCAATGCGTTATCGTCGTGTTCCAGGAAAAGATAAATTTCCATGTGTGATAAAAGTGCACTGAACAATTGATTTTCTTTTTATGCAATAAAATAAACAATGAAATTTTTTTTTTCTCTCGTGACATAGTTAGTGAAAAAATATCATTTTTTGTTTTTTAGTATATCTGATTATATGAAGACTCATTTTCTTTTTTTTTTTCAAATAAAAAATAAAATCTAACGATTCAATCACTTGTTTTTTTTTGTTAAATAAAAACATACGAAAAAGAAACTATCATTTAAAATAAATGAAAATTTCATCTAATATTTTGATTTTTACATTTTGCACTTGATCCCGTCTGGATAAGTATGTATTCAGGTGAGAGTCAAGGCTTTAATTAATTGGAAAAGTACAATGATATTATATTTTGAAAAATTGCTTTATTTTATTTGTAAGATGAGATCGAATGACATAGATATTAATACAGTATGGTATATACTGTTTTTTTATACTTGACATATTAAGCGCCTCCTTGATTGAGAGATTAGTGACATTGCAAAAAGAGAACAAGGTCTATAAAATGAAACTTTCAAACGATAAATATACTACAATAGCGAAAACATCATTCAGAAGATGTATCTCCGTTGCTTATTGATCTTCCTTGCTTTCGTCTTGTCGAATGCAACAAAGGAGCGTTATGATGAGTAAGTATTAAAAAAAAATTTCACTAGTATCATTGAATATATTTTTTCAGTAATATTGTCGTATCTGTAATACCATCGGAAGAAGAACATTATAAATTATTATTAGATCTCGAACATCAACATGAAGTATAATTTTGGCAAAGAAAAAAAAACTAAAGAAAAAATTGTAATATTTTTGTATAGATTGATATTTGGAATGAATTAATTCGTAATGGTTCCGTTCATATCATGTTTCATCAACAAAAAAAACCACAGTTGATGTCACTTTTTCATTCATTAAATATGAAACCAACAATTTTAATTAATGATGTGCAAAAGTAAATTTTCAACAACACAAAAACAAATTCGTATTGTTTTTCTCTTTTGTTTTTACTTAGAATACTCGATGAAGAAGAACAAACTCTTCTGGCACACGCTCGATCACGTGTAGCACCCGGAATCCAGGACACTTTTCATAATTATGATCAAGTAACAAAAACCTAGTTTTTATTTTTTAAAAAACTAATCAAATATTTGTTTGTACAATTAGCTTACTACTTGGCTAAAAGAGATAGTAAACAGTCATTCAACTCTTGCAACACTTCTGTCCATTGGTAAAACATATGAAAATCGAGATATTTGGCTTGTTAAAGTAATATTATTGCATAAAACCACAACAAAAAAAAGTAATTTGCGTTATTTATTCTGAATATTCAGCTCACTTCTAATAATGGGCAAGCAAAGAAAAAAATTTTCATGGATTTCGGTATCCATGCACGAGAATGGATTTCACCAGCAACAGGTGCCTACATAATTAATGAGGTATATCAAATAAAATTTATATGTTTTTTTTTTAAAAGAATATTCTTTTTATAGTTGTTAACAAAATATGCAACAGGTGGTGATGCTAAAACAATTCTAGATACATGGGAATTACATATAGTTCCTGTTCTTAATCCTGATGGTTATGCTCATTCACATTCGACAGTTTGTTTTAAATTTTAAAATTGAGAAAAACCAAATTCAATTTTGAATTTATTAAAAGGCACGTATGTGGCGTAAAAATCGAAGACCAACTAGTGGTACTTGTATTGGTGTTGATCTTAATCGTAACTTTGGCCATATGTGGAATACAGGGGGTAGTTCATCTAATCCATGTGATGATACATATCATGGTGGTTCAGCAATGAGTGAAAATGAAGCTAAAGCACTTCAAAATTATATGACTAATAAACCTTGGGACACATATCTCACATTTCATTCTTATGGACAGTAAGTTTTGTTTTATTTTTCGCATATGTTTTGTTTTTCATTATTTAATTGATAAATTTTTTGTTTCTAGATGGTTGTTTACTGTAAGTTAAAAATAAAAGAATTTTTTTTATAGACAGTTATAATTTTATGTTTTGTTTTTCTTTTAGAACTGGTAAGTGGATGAGTTAAAGAATATTTGAAATAATAAATTTTTTTCAGGGGTTACACAACAGCTGATCCACCTAATTTTAATCTTCTTGTAAGGATTCAATTGAATTTTATTACAATTAATTACATATGATTTCATTTTTGATAGAAATCCAAAGCTAAAGTTAGTGCCGATGCTATTCGAAGTGTCAACGGACGAGTATATACAATCGGTTCATCAGCACAACTACTTTGTTAGTTTTCTTGTTTTCTTTTTTTATAGATATATGTTTCAATGAATTTATTTTGTTTTTATATTTAATAGATGTTGCCAGCGGAGGTAGTGAAGATTGGACAGCAGGTAAACTCAACATCTTTTATTCATATTGCTACGAATTACCACCAACAGGTGGTACTGGATTTCTTGCACCTATAAGCGAAATTAAGAAAACAGGTAACTTAATTTATATAATTGATATATTTATTTATATTTATATTATTTGTGTAGGTCATGAAACTTACATCGGTCTTGTGGCTTTTTTGAAAACATTTTAATATGATTAAAGTTTAAAAAATAATATATATAAAAAAAATGACGATATAAGTTATGTGTTTGTGTTAAAGTGAAAAAAAATAAAATGAAAATGAAAATGAAAATAAAAAATTTATTCATTGGAATTAAGCATAAAGAGTTTGTTCTTGTTGTTGTTGATTTTGAAATTGTTCAATTGTTGAGGATTTGATTTGTTGAAGATTATTGATTGGTGCAGGTAAAAATGGAAATTTTTCACGCATTGTATCATCAATTGAATCTGATACTTTACCTAAATAATAATATGTTCGTGGAATAGTTGTATCTCGTTGAAATGAACGTATATAATCAATTTCTTTTGCATCACGTGTTGTTGGTTGCCGTCGACTACTATTTGTTATTGAACGATAATTAAGATCTTTATTAATTGCATTTGTTCGATCAAGTGCAGTTGAAAATAAACGTGGAATACCAACACGTGTTGATTCCGCATATAATTTTGATTCATGAGGAATATATCGATCTGTATATTCACTTGATATAAGCACAAAAAAAGAAATAGAATAATAAGGACGAAAAACAAATCTATGAGAAACAAAAAAGTACCTTATTTCAGGCATTGTATGGGAACGATGAAAAGATTGACTTTGCGAACGTTTTCTTTCCATAAGACCAAAATGTGTTGGTTCACCTTCAAGAGGATGATCACTATGTTCTGGTAGCCAACAATCATCTTGTAATGCCCATTTTCGTTCTGGTGGAAACTTAAAACAAAATGGTTAGTGCATTTCTTGCAGGATTAAAACTTTGAAACAAGATGTAGCTGCTGTTACAGGAAGATTGGTTTATTCTATCTATCTTGGGACATATTTCTTCATCATCTCTTTACTCTATATTTCAGAAGTACAATAGCAAAGTAGCTCATTTTTCATAATGAGACTTTATTGAGATGTGGCCTATGATGCAGAAGAACGGGAAACGGAGTGTTACAAACAATGTTTTATGCAAAGTTTCTCTTCGAAAAGGACGATATAAAACTCCGAGACAGAAAACATCTATTTTTAAGAGTACAAACACATAGTAGATGATGGAGGAACTTAAAACGTCGGAAGGAGCAACCTGATCTTTGGAGAGCTGCTGCTGCTTTCTCAGCTCTTACGCTGAACAGAACACTGGTTGCGAAGCTGTGTATCATGATCTCTGATCAGTGCCGTCATGGTCGAATGGTCACGTAGTTTGACACGTATCTACAAGATCCTGTGTTTAAGCTTTAGTATCATTAGCTACAAAAGGATTCTGGGGAGGTCACTAACGGATGTTTGTCTCTGATCATCCGGCTGATAGCATGCTAAATACGGTGTGACATACACATTCGTTTTTAGTTAGTTTGTATGTGTGAGAAGCTCAAGCACTCTGCGTTACGTCGGGCTTCTGTTCAGAACTACAGTTAGCATTAGTTGTAATGAAGATATTAGATTATTGAATCTACCGCTAGGTAGTGCCCTATACTGCAAGGTAGTCGAAAGACATCGTTATTCTTCTTTTTCTAACTAGCATTTGTCAAAGTCCAAACTTTTCCGCCTATACTTCAACACTTCTCTTTTTGGTTTGTGTCTCTCAGAAATCTGATGAATAGATTAGAAAAAGAAGATATTGAAATTAATTTTACTCGATCATTCCCATAGGGTCCACGTCGATTATATTGTTCATCATAGCTATAAATATAAAAATTATTAATAATAAAGTAAAAAAAAAAAACGTTTCACTTTATTTTACCTGCTAATCAATTGTTTACGATCATTAATATTATGATGACCAAGAATCATTCGTCTAGGTCGTTCTTCTTGTGATAAAAGTAATCTACGTCTTAAAACTGTATCAGGTAAATAATTAATATGTGCTGAATAATCAATACGATAGGTTGAATTATGTGTATAATTTGATTTTTGTAACTAAATAATGAAGAAACCATATAAGTTATTTTCTTTTCTATTATAAGATTCGAGAATGTCAACATACAACAAAAAAAGAAAATGATTACTATTTAACCTAAAAATAGTATTAAAAGTAAGATAGGCATAACAATGAAGAATATTGACTCATAGTGCAAGATAGATGAATGACAAGGAATAGTTTACATAATTTTGAATTTTTTCACATAAAAAATTTCTTCAAGTAACAGTTAATGAATTATAAACAACTAGAATGACCAAAGAACGAAATATTAATGTATGTTTGAGAGATTTCATTTTGAACACAAACAGAAGGGATTAGACTGAAGAGAGGTAGTTAGCTGAACTTGCGCGTGAAAATAACATTAAAGGAGAACGATCATATGAGAATGAGAGCTATCCAGATAAGAAAAGCGCGACTTCAATACTTTCAAATGCGAATGAAGTATAGAAATCGCACTTTGTCTCTAATGGTACTGACTTTTCGGACTTACGACTATCCTCCAGTATATAATACCTCATAGAGATTAACAAATAAGAGATATTTTCTTTTTAAACATTTTCTAACATTTAATAAAGCTAATCATTTTTTAATTTGTTTTTTTTTTCAAATAGATATTTTAAATATTAAAACTTACTTTTGATCGATCTTCATACCAATTTCCAATTAAAACATCGGTTCCATATTGTCGTTTACCTCGAAATTTTTCTGTATGTACTGGCATAATTGGTACATTTGCATAAGTACCATCTTTTGGATTATAAAATCGATCAGCTTGAAATGTCATTTATAAAAGAAATCTTCAATATAAAAAAAAAGAAAACAAAAGAAAGAAAAAAGCAAGACAATATTTAAATAAAAACAAAAACAGTTTAATTTCATCTAGATTATAAATATCCATTAGCGATCTAAATAAGACAATGTAGAAAAAAAAACACGAGAATAATTTTAAATATTGCATTAAAATGTGCAATATAAAAACAATCAAATCAAAACAAGGCATGTTGAAACTCCTCTAATCGGAACTGTCAAATTTGACACTTTTTTGTATTCGTCGACTACTATTATTTAAACGTGGTATATCACTAATTGAATGTATATCTGCATTTGATATGGATGATTTTTGTAATTTTGAATATGATTCTTTTGCACTTATATGTACACGATTTGGTGAAACATAACCACGTGTACCTGTTTGAATATGTTCAGCATACCAAAGTAAATGAGACTCTCTATTTAAGATTTTAATTTTATCATTTTTTAAAAATGATAATTCTTCAGGACGTTGAGCTTTATAATTGGTTGTTGCATACATTATTTGATTCGATGATAATGAAGATTTTCGAGAAATATTATCATCATCATCAGTTCGATTTGATACAGGTACGAAAAGATCTGGTGATGTTAAATTACGTAATGGACTAACGAGTGGTGGTCGACCTGAATCAGAAATATAACCTGATGTAGGAATATTACGACGTCCTTGATATGGTGAAATATCACGTTCTGTTGAACGTGACATAAGATGACCACCACCATAATCTGTTATGGAATCTCGATGGTGATTGGTTTTAGACTTAGCATTCTAAATAAAAATGTTTATATTATTTTTTTTAATCTTCTTTTATTATAAAATATATGATTGAACTTTCAAAACCGTAGAATTAATGTGATAGAAGGAAAATAAAAAAAGTTATATTAATTAATTATAGAATAAGTCGTTGCTGCGAAATGTTCAGCGTATAAAAACAAGATCTGTAGAATGTCACACTGAAAATCCTAGAGAATAGAATTTTTTGTTTGTTTTTGAATATGTTTTACTAAGTGTGCAATGATTAATAATGCATGGAGTAGTGTGAAGGAACTGATGTTGCACGTTTGTTCGCACTACTGAAGGTAGTGCTTATGGCTTTTGGTTCGAGCTAGAAACGATCATAGAGAATGTTTTTCATCCAGATCTCGAATGATTTTGTTAGAACGAATTCAAACAGTTTCAAAAATATATTTTTCTAATAAACAATTTATTTCATAACTAGGGCCGATTTGGGCTCTGTGGGCTAATACAGGTGGCTTAGATGCATTATTACAGTGCAGAGAAAACGGCCCAATTCTGTTAGTATTAACAGAGTTTAAAAATATTTATCCGTTTTGATACAATACATCATAATGCAACAGTTTACAAAATAAAACGGCGTAGTTTCATGGTAGGTATCGCATGGAAACAAGTCAAACATATTTCTATGCAATTCATTATACGCTGCATTATGCTAGACTCAACATGTTTACTTCTAACCCTTAAAAACAGATGAAGAAATCCATTCTATTGAAATGACATTATTCGCAGTTAATGAGAAAGGGCGAAAGGCAACATTTTTACATCACCGCTTTCCGTAAACTTATAAAATGGTGAAAATCGATGAAGTAATACGCCGTTTTCGATGGTGGAGATCACTGTCTCGGGATGCCTAATCAATAGATAACAAATGAATAATTCAAGTTCTATAAAGAAATTATTTTATTCAATATTTTACTATTTAAGCCTTCACTCTTCAAAATCGAATCTTGGATTAGATATGAAATTTTTCGTTTTATATCATGACATTTTCAGACGATCTTTAATCAACAAGGATCGAAAATAACTATGGATGTACACTTCCTGTAGAGTGTTCACCGAAAATTCATACTGGATCGGTATATCAGTAGACTCACTGTCTCAATATTTTCATCGAGATGATGCATCCCTAAAGATAACTTATATAAAAATTTTATGTGTTTTTTTATGTTGAAAGAGCATCTCAGTCTCAGATTGAAGTGTCTTTTTAAGATTCTTAATTTTTATGCGACGAAAAAGGATAATAAGTTCAATATCTCGAAAAAAAAAAGAAACTGTAACTTCACATTATTTTCGAACAAAAAAGAAAGATAATTGGTTACAATCAAACTCTTTCGAGAATTTCGAGATGCTCAATCGAAAAAGCAAAGAAGATTTCCCAATGTTATTATCATCTCAATTTCAATTTTTCTAACAAAAGAAAAATTTCTACTCACAATAGCATCATCCATGTCATCAAGAAATTTATTAACAACTGCTAATCGTCGATTTCTTTTTTCATTTGTTGATGGTCGTAATTCATCACCACTACTATCTACTCTTGTTTTTACAAGACTTCTGTCTGTATCTGAAGCAGTAGTAACTCGTGCACTAGAATCATATCGATTTTTCGTTGCTACTGATGGTCTTTGTTCATTATCAGATAAGCCTATAGATGTTGTTGTTGGTAATAATCCTCCTTTTGCTGTATATGGTCGTGGTAAAGGTTTTGCTTCAATATCTGCATCAACAAATGTATGTTGAAATACATATACTTGATGTAATGTTCCAATTGAACACATTGCTAATAAATTATCTAATGGATGAAATTGTATATCAACAACTGGTTGAGTATAATTTAAATTTCTATATGAATAAAGTAATTTTCCCTCATATGTATGCCAACAATGTACTTGTCCATCTTCACTACCAGCAAAAACAAGAGAACCACATGTTGAAAATGTTGAACGAATACGATCTTGTAAATTGAATGCTCCTGTATAACGACGTGAAATTGTTTTGCTAATTATGCCGAAAAATAAAAATTCAAAATAAAAAATAAATTATTATTTGATTTCTTACATTCGAACATCAATTAAAACAATTAAATTATCACGAGCAGATACTAATAGAAAATTACCATTTGGTGAATATGTAACACTGTTCAATGGAATATTCTATTCAATAAAAAGAAAAAACTTTTTTTGTTTTCTATTGAAATTTTTTTTCTACTTTTAATTCATCAAGTTCTAATTTCGAAGACGATGACCAACTGTCCGTAGATGCTATAAATATAAATAAATAGAGAACGTTTATTTTAAATTATTTTATTTTCATACCATGTGTTGTGCTTGTTTCATTTGGTAAACCATGCCAAATTCTAATTGCACCAATACTATCAACTGATGCTAAGTATGTACCATCTGAATTAAATGATAGACTACTTATATATCCTAAATGATCAGGCATTGTTCGTACACTCTATAACAAAAATAAATTTTTAAATTTGAATATAGTTAGAAGACAAAAAACAATGAATTTACAGTTCCATGTTTTTTTTCGAGATTCCATATACGTATTAATTTATCATAACCAGCAGTAACAATAATATCTTCATCGAATGGATGAAAACGAACACAATAGACATAACTTGGATGAGCTAATGAGCGCCATGGTTTTCGTTGTGTTTGTTCAAAATTCCAGATTCTAAAAATATTCTTCTACTACGTATAAAAAATCGAGAATTTGAGGTTCGATTTTATTAATCGAACGAGGGAACTTCTTTAGTTACCTCCTTCCGATCCAATGATTTTTTTTTCTGTATAGTGTTCTAATAAAAACCCTAAATTGATTTGGTTTTGACTAAGCTATCGAGTTTTGTTTCTAGACGCCACTTTGTTTGTTATCCTTTTACTTTATCTTTCTGAGATGCAATTAGATAGTGATTCATATAGTACGATGAAACAATAGTGATATACAGTCTTTGATCGTATATCTATAACGGCTACTACCGTCGGTGAAGAAGAGGAGTCCATATTTTGACTCCTATACTTCCACTATTATCTTGTACAGATGTGATTTTTTGCAAGCGAAAGATTCTTTCACAGTCATGGTACTACGGCTTTTAAACTTTTGTTCTATATGAGAAAATATACTATTTTTGTTCTTTCTATCTACAACAACAAAAAAACGATTATCTAGAATTTCGTAAAAAGATAAGTAAATCCAGATTCACTTGGTGTCTTTCTGCTTCTGAAACCAGATTGATTTCGCTAATTATACGTTTTCTTATTGCTAATAAGTCTGAAGAATGAAGCGCATTTTTAGTCTTAAATGTCATACATGAATGCTTGTCTTCATCACAATAATAAATTTTTATCTTTTCGATAATTTATTTTTCTTTTCATGTATTCCATTACTTTGCCGTATGATTTACCATCATCTGTAGATTAATTTTCATTAAAAAAAAAGCAAATTCTTTTAGTACAACGATATTGTTTTCCATTTCTGTGACTTATTCTCAAATCCAATAAATTAAGCAATCATGACCAAATCAATTTTCACTAGAGAGTAACAAATCTGAAATAGATTTGGAATCAAATCCCTGGTATTTGGATTCAGGACTCTAGTTTGGAGCATCTATTAAGAATTTTATACTAAATTCTGAAGTCGCAGATTTATTCCACTCATTAGTTTTTACTCCTATGCTTTTATATAAATAGCATTTTGAAAAAGGAAGAAATTCTTTACAACGTCGAAGTCTCATTAATTGTTAGATCAGCTCCGAATATAAGATCATACTCGGACTAGGGATGTACCGAGACCGAGCCTCTCGGGCTTGGCCAGTCTCGGTCTCAGTTAGCCTTGGTCTCGGTGTTAATGAATATTGGTCTCGAGTACAATTAACTTCTTATTCGTTCTTTATCCTAGGTAAGCATTGTATTCACTCTCGGTCGAAATTATTATTTTTTCAGTTTTTCGACCGAGACTGACCAAGACCGAGAGTCTCGGCCGAGATGACCGAGACCGAGACTACCCGCACCCAGAGTCTCGATCTCAGTATATCCCTAACTCGGACTCGTACTTCGAACTTGGTCAGGTGTAAGACATTACTTTCAACATTTCTTTTAGATGATGTTTCACAATAAACAATAGTGCTTAGCTTTTCGATTTTATAATACGATTAAAACTTATCATATAATCGAAAATCTAAGAACATGATTAAATTACAGATGTAATACTTAGTTCTTTAGTAATTTGAGACAGTATTCTTTCATCTCATCTCATCGAAATAATTGAAGTTTTGTTTTTGAAAATTTTTATCTTACTTGACTGATGAATCGGCTGATGCTGATGCTAAATAACGATCAGTTCTAGACCAATCTAGATCATAAATCATTTGTAAATGTCCAATAAATACGGTTACACGTTGATCATGTGGAATCTATTGAAAAAAATCTTTTTTTAACATAAGTAAATATATAAAAATGATAAATTTACTTCAAAAATTGATATTAAATTATTTTTTTGTAATTTATTTACTTCTGCACAAGCAAGAAAATAACCATTATGTGAAAAACGTATTGATGAACAGCCACGTTCACTTGTATTAAGTGAAAGTAATAATTCAGTTGGAATTTTACATTTTGAATTGGGAAATTTCTGCCAACGTGGTGGTAATAATGCTACACGTTGTAATGGTCCCATTGTTTGATTAATTCTATCTGTTGGTTGACTATCTATAGGATGATTAGATGGATCAAGAAGATTTGAACTATTTAAGAAAAAAAAAGAAAAAAGTTTAATTTTTTTTTTATTTAATAAAATAATTATTTTTACTTTTCCATTTCTTTTGCTAATTGATCATATCGTTCTCGCATTCCTTTAATATCACCATCTACAATTGATCGTATACCAGGATGATAATGACCACGTGCATTAAGTGGTTTTATTGTAACATAAAGTGTTGATGGATATTTTTCTCGATGTGAATGATTATACCACAAGACAACCTTAAAAGAAAAATTATTTATTTCTTTTTATTCAGTTTTCTTATGTTTGTTGTTATACAAACATCTGGTGTTGATGATGTTGAACTATGTTGTTGTTGAAATGGTTGCCAAAGTTGTAAACGAACCATTCGTTCTGTATTAAGAGTATTTCGTATACCAACAATCTAATAAATAAATTTTTACAATGGACGTATTCAGAAATAATCTGCCAGTATTTCATTTGTTTTTTTTGTTTATCAGAAAAATCATAAACTCTCTCTCTCTGTCTCTAAAAACCTGGCCGATCTCTGCTTTTCACAATATTGTTGAATTCAGAATATCTTTGGATTTACTTTTAAAAATGCCCACGCGATTGGAAATGTATTGGATAGATCGTTCAGATTTTGTTGATTATGAAGATATTCAAGAATCTAAAAAAAAACGAAAAACTAGATTTCAACTATTTTAATCTTGAATTCACCTCGAAGAAAACAATAACATTTTGTTGTTGAACTGATGTAAAATACGAATAATCTTCATCGATTATAAGCATATCTTCCCATGATGGAATAGTTGAGCTAATCAAACAAATTTATTCAAATAAGTAATAATAAAAAAAATGCAAAAGTGACAATGGATTGCATGTTTAACTGAAGCACGATCTCTAATGGATGTTTCAGAAATCTTAATTTACAAACTTGTAATTCAATCAGACATAACACTGCGTGAAAATGAGGATGGCATGTAAAAAATGAAGATTTACTTAGCAGAATATATTTTTATATGATCTCGCTCTTAAACAGTAACTGAATGTTAATATTCATATTTTAAATTTGTGGAAATGCTACGAAAGGACGAAAAAATGTGCTCATTGTCGAATACTGAAAATCGTAGCAGACAGCAACTCCAAAAGAAGAGAAAATTATGCAAGACGATGGAAGATCTATAAAGTAGTTATCACTTGTTCTTATATGAGAATTTCATGCTCAATTAGGAAACTTTCTTGTAAAATCGTGTTTTTACACGTATTTCACAATCCTTATCCTCGAATAGATCCTTGACTATTTTCTGAACCTATCTCACAACAAAACTATCCGAAGTGTAAGACATTTGGACCCGAGCTATTATTGTTTTACTGGATTTTCAACTCATTTTTAGGTATTTATGAAAGAATCAAACAATAAAAATTCGACTTGAAATTCAGTCTATAGATAGATCTAGTGATTCCTAGAATAGCGTGAAATTTTCAGCCGAAAAGAATGTTCCTTTGTGGTAATATTAAATTTGCAACAAAGACTTACTTGTCACAAAAATCAAATTTACTTCAAAATCCAATATCTTGACAAAGAAACATTCATTTCGACTAAAACATTGAGGATACTTCGATAAACATTAGATCTACCTATGAGCAAAGTTTCACATCGAAATTGTACTATTTGAATTTCTAGTGAATACGTAAAACTGGATTTAAAATTTACTAGAATCATTATAACTCAACTGCAGAGCCCTCATGGATACGAACGTTCTAAAGTTTTCTTTTTAGTCTTATTTCGATTCCCTCGTGAACTCAATATAAGCTGAAACGGTGAGTTACTCCTCTATAATCTTCAACAATTATTTTTTGATCGATTTTATCTTTTAGAATTGCGACGAATTGTCGTAGAATCGAAAAGAAAATATTTACCGATTAGCATTAAAATCATATGGATGAGTTGAAATAGATTGAATATGATCACTTGTTTGATCATTTATATTATGATAGTGAAGTACTGAACGAGTCCTATAAGAAAAGAAAAGAAAAAAGTTAATTGAAATTTCTTTTTCATTTTATATGCACTTTATAAAAATAGTATTTTTCTTATAATGTTTATACTCTTTTTTTTTTAAAAAGAATGAAAAGTAAATATTAAAAAATTAAAAGATCAACTTTCGATAAATTAAATTCTAAATTTAACATACGGATCAATTTTTCGCACATAAGATCTTGTATTAAGATCAATTAAATGAACCCGTACAAACGGATGTCGAAGACGAAGATCTGTTCTTAAACGATCTGTTCGATGAATAAAAATTCCAAGTATTTTATCTTTATTTGGATCAATTCTTGCTTCTGTATCTGAATGTGATTCTTTTGATTTTGTTCGTCTTTTTTTCTTTTGACTATCACTTCGTTTTTTGACAGTCATTTCAATGCCTTCGCCTTCACGTATTTTAAATGTTTTCTTTTTTCGTCTAGGTTTTGTTTCATTTTCAACAGTAACTGTTGTTGAATTATTTAATGAAGGTGCCACAGAATCATTTGGTGATGGTTTTCGTCTTCGACGAGATGCTGGTCGTTGCAAATGAGTTTCGGGAACTAAAAAAACAAAAATTAATCATTCAAGATAAAACTATAGTTTTAGTTCTTTTTTTTTTGCTTTGTTGAATTATGAAATAACCTTCAATTCTTGTTTCATCAGCACTTGTTGCTGCAGAAGTTGTTCGATTTTGACGACGTGCACGTCGTGCTTGTGAAATTGGATCACCTTTAATTAATCGTTCACTATGATTATTATATTCAACACCACTGTCATGCTAAGGTAGAAAAAAGGATTGATGCAAAAGCAAAAAAAAAAAACTTTTATTTTATTCTTGTTTCATTTGTTTGTTTCTTACCGAGTCGGACTTGTTCATCATTCAGCTTTTGTTTCTTTAATCCTTCAAAAAACTCTTTATTTCTCATCATCGACATGAACGATAGAACAACGTTACTTAGCAACATCATACATGTGTTCTTTTCCTTTTTTTTTATTATTTTATTTTACAATCTTAGATGTCTCTAGACAACAGATATCGAAGAATTTGTGAAAGTGCTGCTATTGCTACACTTGTTCGATGACTAAGACATTGATGTAACATTTGCATTTCTTCACGTTTATTCATATGAACAGTATCATTACCATAACAACCTTCAATAGGATGTTGCCAACTAATTATTGCATTAAACCAATTTATATTTTGAAAAAATTCATTCCATCCAACAAGACCACCTAATGCAATTTGTTCCATAAATAAATCACGATCAGATTCAACAAAATTTTTCTTAGCAATAGCTTGACTTTCATCGAACATTCTTGAAACCATTTGATATTTATCAAACAGTGATAATCGATATTGATTATAGCATGAAGATTTTTTTGCAATTATTGAATAGAGAATTTGATGAGTAAGGGAATAGCGGCATGCATATGGATCATTCATTAACTTAATACATGAGTGGGTTTCATTGCATTTAGCAAATCCTAATGCATGAAGACATTGATCTGAAATTTTTTCAATAAATACTGATGAAGAACATTTGTTTTCAGCATTGATTTGATCTTTGTGTCTATGAAATTGAAAAGGTTCAATATTTGAAAAAGTACCCGGCATAAGAAGAAATGATAATTGTGCATAATAATTCGGTTGTCGATTACGAACAGATTGAACTATTTGCCAAGTAACATATTCACTTAAATCGACAAGTTTTTTTACAGATCTTCCTTGTTTACATAATATATAAGGTTTTAATTGATCAGCAACAATTCGTGTACCAATGCCTGCATCCAGATTAACTTGATTAGTATGTAATGAAAAAAATTTTAGAGCTCGTATTAATGTATCGATAATTTGATCAGTAGTAATAGTAGATATAGGTCTGTTACATAGAACAAGTGGAACAACGGTAAAGATAAAATACCAATGCATAATCAAAATCATTTTGCTATATGAAGAAGAAGAAATGATGAGAATACAACAAACTATGTCTCTATGGATTTATATACATATTGTTATTCATAAGCTCATTTCGTAGGCGATACAGATTATCTTTTTTTTTTCTTTTTCTCTTTTTAATTAAAACTCATAAAAAAGAAAATTATCTTGTTGTTTTTTTATTTCTTTCTCTCTCTCTCTCGCTTCTCTTTTTTTTTTTTATCTAGGCTACATCATATTCATCTGGTGTTGGTAAATAGTCTATTAATGATCGTTTTTCGTAGATATAAACAAATACCACTAATATAAATGTATAAAAATCAGCCAAAACAAGTAGAATACTTAATATAAAAAAAAATATTTCATTGAAAAAAAAAATTAAAGAATCATATATATCTTACCTAATAAATGGCATTAATTGAATAAGTTCAATTAATAATTTAACTTTCATACATGACATATTAACAAGATATTTATCATGATAATTATCTCTTATACATGTACATTGTTTTGTTTCAATATTCATATTTAATATTTCTTTTGAACAATAATCAAAAAATTGTTGAATTTCAATTGATTGATATTTTCGTAAATGAATTATATTTAATATATACCAAAGATTTGAACATAAATGTAAAAATAATGTTAAAAGAAATGGATAAAGAAATACAAATGAGTCTCGACGAAAACCACTAATCATAAATGAAATATCGAAGTCAATTAAGAAAAATAAATAAATAATCAATCATACCTAATAAAAAAAAGACAAAAAAAAATAGCTTGTATAATTATAAAAAATGGAAAATATTGCCAAGGTAAATTTAATAATGGATCAGATGTAAATATGGCTATAGTAAATTGGGCACATGTACCAAGAAGAATATAAGCGAATGATAATGTTAAAAGAAAGATAGCTGTTGTCATGATTGAGATATTTAAATGAGAATAAAACTTAAGTTATGTTTGCTTTTTAGAGTTGATAAATTAAGTGAATTAAGTATGAATATTTGATTGTGAGAGACTAAGCTAAAAACTGACATTTAGTAAATGAAGAATTTAAAGATAATAGCGGGAATTTTTTATTCATTAAAATATATGTATTCGATTTTCATTTTTGAGAAACCAGTTCAAAATGAAATCATTTGATTTAATTAAAAACAAAATAAGAAACATTCAACAATATAAACATAATGTTGGTTAGCGATCTCTCATGCTCATATTCGAAATCAGTTTTGAACAATTTCAACAATATATTTGACATTGATCTCGTTACAAAAATATGTTGACATATGTGTTATTCAACTATTGATTATACTAAATCAATTCTTATTCTTTAACAAACCATTGATTCTAAGAAAGAAATAAGATTTATTCTATCACTTTTCGTTGAGTGTATTGTATATTTAACAATGAACTCAAACTTAGAAGGTTATTTTAAACTCCTTGAGAACAGAGGGTGACCCATAAGGAAAGTTTCACAAGATGGGATAGAAGATCACAGGCTTTTCAAAGATCTTTTTTCGAAAATCAAGCGGATTTTTAAGGATTTTAGTATCTTTTAGTCGAGAGTATGTGTACCATGTAGAATTCTAATGAAAACGTTTCGAGCTAATAGCTGATTATTACCGATATACTACTTTATTTTTAATCAGAATGCCGTGGCCCTTTTCCAGAAAACTGAATTTTGAATTTCGACTTGAAATTTTGGATAGAGACACGCCTTAATGAGAATAGTTTAGTGTAAAAGTTTCAAATATTTTGATTGCGTCTATCCTAAGAAACAGCTATAATAAAAGCATGTTATTCATACTACTCATATTCTTATTTCAGAAAGAATACAATAGAAAAATCTGAAACTTTTACAATAAACTATTCTCATTAGGGCTTGTCTCTATGCAAAGTTTTAAGCTGAATTTCAAAACAGTATTTCTGAGGAGACTATGGTATCTCGGCAGCTATAGGCTAATAGTCCCAATTCCTTTTATTAGAATCTACACGATGGGCATATTCCTGATTCAAAAATGCTTCGACGTTTAGAAATATTTCATTATGACTTACTAATGGTACGTATTTTAGTCTCAAAAATTTTTTTCAAAAACCTTTATTTTTGTAGCTAATGTTAGTAAAAAGCTGGTTTACAATAGACAGTCACCATTGAAAGAGTGATGCAAATTTCTATAATGGAAGACCATGACATTTTATTCTGAATGGAGTTATCTTTGGTATTTAGATATCAAAGATTAGTTTCTTCAAAAGTGATGATTATAAAGAATTCCTTTCTGCGTTGCTTTTGTTTCTGTTTCAATTGACATTTTTTTTTTATTTAATCATATTATCAAAAACCAATATACAATGAATATACTTATAATTTGGTTTATTATTATAGTAACTCGAATGAATATTGAAAAACTATGATTCATTATCAGGAAAAAAAAGACATCTATGTATATTAAGATAAAACATCCTTCCGGCAAAATTTCTCAATCAAATACTTGTCATAAAACATGAGGTTAATCAATGTAATGTCTTTTTCTTTTTTTGCTCTTAATGGCTTGTTACTTAGTTGTTGTCTCTCTTCATCTTTCACATGAAAATAATTATTATTATTATCATGATAGAGTGTCTCTTGTGATGTGAACAAAGTGCTGATTGAGGCACGCATCAGTAAGTTTTTCCTTCCATTCTATTCAATTAATATCATCATTGTATTCTCTTCATAGTGACAAGCATTTCGCTTATTCGATTTTGAGATTTATTTTGTTAGAATATTCTTTCTATCTAAACGAATAACGATAATGAATATCTCGTGTTGTTGTTGTCGTTATATCTGCTGGAGTTTGACTTGTTGTTGTTACTTGAAGAGTTTTTAATTGTTGATTTGAAAGATATTTTTCACGATTTCTTGTTGATAAATTTGAAAGTTTTTTATATTCATTCCAAAGTTCATTGACAACTTCACTTGTTAATAAATCACTTATATTTTCTGATATTAATCTTAATATTAAAACACCATCACCTGATAAATAATCAAATATAAAACGTTTAACAAGTAATTGTCGTTTAAAACGTTCTTTTTTTGAATATAAATTTAAATAATTTGCTATATAAGCATAATTAAAATGTCGAAAACTACTGCGAATTATTGTTAATAAAACACTTTTAAAATTTGCTATTGTTAAAAAAAGTAACCAAAACCAAATAATAGTAAAAATCTTTTCATTGAACACATTCATCGGTAATAAACATTGTACCTAAAAAAGAAAAAGAACGCAACTAATTCTTTGTCCAGAAAACCAAAAAACAATTTTTTTTTACTGTATAAAGTGTCGGTTGACCAATTTTAACAATATTAAAATCACAATAAACACTCAATGGAAATATTTTTGTACCGATAACATATTCACCACGGCGAAAATTTTCAAGTACTTCAAGACCATAAAAAATGGAATTCTTCGTTAATAATGTATTTAAAAAAAATAATTGTAATGATGAATTAATAAGAAAAAGTATTTTAACCATAATAAATAAATTAACTAGATAATAACCACGAAAAGAATTCGTATTATAAAATATAAATGGAATACAAAATATATTTAAAAATTGAAATAAACCTGCTCGATTTGATGATAAACTATTTGAATTTAATGAACCTTTTGTATCATTTGATGTCATACGATTAAAATCATAATTTTTAGCACGTGCTAATAAATTAAGCATTGTTGTTATATGATGAACTTTATAACGATTTGTACGATAATCAAATTTTGGTGATAAACAATGTTGAACACTAATTCCACATCGAGAATTAAAATTACTCCAAATTAAACGTGGAATAAGAAATAATAATGATTGAAATGCAAGTAATATAGGTAACCATTGATAATAATAAATTGAACGTCGACGTCGCATATGAGAATTACTTAATGTTGGAATAGTTTCATTCATTGATATATAATAAGTATTTGTTACATAACAATACTGTCGAGTGTATGACACAAAATTACCTGAAAACGAATAAAAAAAAAGTTTTAATATACTGTTCTTTTTATTTTTTCTTGATGCGATTTGTCGATTACATAAACAGATACATATGCCAGTAAATGTCATGTCAACTCATACCCCTATCATTCTGATGAGGATAATATTCATAAATTATCTGTGTGTCAAGATCGTCATACATTGCTCTTTTATGAATAGTGTAATTCTTGTGCTTATATATTTTTGGACATGCACATGATTAATAGAAAGAAGAACATATGAGTTCTTATCACTTTAATTTAATTAATCTGTCAATCAATGAGTACAATAGTAGACTTCATTTGATAGGGTAATTTCGTTTAATTAAGTTATGAATAAAATATGATAATATTTACCTGTAAATTCACCAGGTGTCCAACAAATAATTAAATCAGATATAAATAAACGTGAAGTAAGAATAGCTGAAAAAATAAGTAACATAAAAACAGTATGACGATGATTAAGACGATTCGATGCATCATCATCAGAACAACCGAACCATGAAATACGTAAATGTGTAAGTTCTGTTATACGATGAACAACTTCAGTCATTATTCTTATTAGTAACACAACAATAGACGATAGACGTCGAATATGGTTTGAACCGAACTTAGATAAATAATCGAACAATGTAATAATAATAACAATAATAACGACAAAAGAAGGAAAAGAGAGCGATAGAGAGAGAGAGAGACGATCTCTCTAATGGATAGAGGAAAAAATGTATTTTTTAAGTGTGTCACTTCTGATTGTGGATCATTTCAACAGTCGTCTGTGTGTGACGACTTTGCCATCTATTTGTTTCCTTTTTGCCTTCGTTCTCTTCTTCAGTCTTCATCATGAGAAAAGACAAGAACGATGGTAATAAGGAGAGACATACAGTGAGAGAGAAAAAATCATAGCAACAAAAGAGCCAAGAGAATTGCAAAAGTACAAATTTGTGTATTTAATATAAACTTAGTTAGAATTATGCTTCC